AACTTACTTACCTTGCGCCTCGTTTGTAGCCAGCAGGAGGAAAATACTAATGAGATTCCTTGTCGTAGCCATGCTGCATCGCACATCTGCTTTTTCAGAACCTTTAGTAACTGCTCGACAAAAACTATTATAAAATGTTCATCCATTGCCTTCTAAGTCTGCAAGATGTAAGCCAATTGAAACTGAATTATATCTTAATTAGTCAACAAATTAACAAGTTTAGACCGAGTTTATCTTTATTACTTAATTAATGTAGACTATAGATGTAATTGCAAGCACCGAGTTCATATGTATTTATTTGTAATACAAGACGATATCTCTAAATGAAAATGTTACTCTTGACAAGGAGTCTTCTCGCGTACTTGGAACAAATTCTAAAAAGTTTACACCCAAATATAATTGGAAGCTTTCTTCGTTATGATAAAAGGTTGTGCATATCTTTCTTTTCAAATTCGTGACATGAGCGGTTAATATTTCGATCTCTGCCTTCTTTTTATATTATGCTATTTCTTTTTTATATGTGTTTCAATAAGTGATATCCAATCAACTATCCCTAAAGGTAATCAGAGTGTGCCAAAAAATCACATGACAATATAAAGTAAGCCTTTTAGGGTGTTATACCATGATATACAAATCTCGGTGATGGTGATGCTCAGAAAAAGAGCGACCAGGCAATGTCGTATCTTCATAAATTGCATCCAACTGAAAATTGCATACAACAATGGTAGGCCTTACATCTTATAAGGTATAATTGGAAGGCCTTATATCATATAAGATATCATTGGTAGGCCTTACATCATATAACGTATCATTGGTAGGCCTTACTTCATATAAAGTATCATTGGTAGGCCTTACATCATATAAGGTATCTTTGGTAGGCCTTACATTATATAAGGTATCATTGGTAGGCGTTACATCACATAAGGTATCGTTGGTAGGCGTTACATCAGATATGTATCGTTGGTAGGCCTTACATCATATAAAATATCATTGGTAGGCCTTACATCATATAAGTTATCGTTGGTAGGCCTTACATCATATAAGTTATCGTTGGTAGGCCTTACGTCATATAAGGTATCGTTAGTAAGCCTTACATCATATAAGGTATCGTTTGTAGGCCTTACATCATATAAGGTATCGTTTGTAGGCCTTACATCATATAAGGTATTGTTTGTAGGCCTTATATCATATAAGGTATTGTTAGTAGGCCTTATATCATATAAGGTATTGTTTGTAGGCCTTATATCATATAAGGTATTGTTAGTAGGCCTTATATCATATAAGGTATTGTTTGTAGGCCTTATATCATATAAGGTATTGTTAGTAGGCCTTACATCATATAAGGTATCGTTTGTAGGCCTTACATCATATAAGGTATTGTTTTTAGGCCTTATATCATATAAGGTATTGTTAGTAGGCCTTATATCATATAAGGTATCGTTAGTAAGCCTTAGATCATATAAGGTATTGTTAGTAGGCCTTACATCATATAAGGTATCGTTAGTAGGCCTTATATCATATAAGGTATCGTTGGTAGGCCTTACATCATATAAGGTATTGTTTGTAGGCCTTATATCATATAAGGTATTGTTTGTAGGCCTTATATCATATAAGGTATTGTTAGTAGGCCTTATATCATATAAGGTATCGTTGGTAGGCCTTATATCATATAAGGTATTGTTAGTATGCCTTATATCATATAAGGTATTGTTTGTAGGCCTTATATCATATAAGGTATTGTTAGTAGGCCTTATATCATATAAGGTATTGTTAGTATGCCTTATATCATATAAGGTATTGTTTGTAGGCCTTATATCATATAAGGTATTGTTAGTAGGCCTTATATCATATAAGGTATTGTTAGTAGGCCTTATATCATATAAGGTATCGTTAGTAGGCCTTACATCATATAAGGTATCGTTGGTAGGCCTCATATAATAATCCAGGTTTCAAAGGTTACATATAGTTATATGATTAGTAGATGAAACTTATTTCTTTCTCCGGATTGTATTGTGATTATTTACATGGCTTTCCTTTTTTATTCCTTTAGATAGTTATGTAAACTTTTTAAAGATTATCATCGTAAAAATGTAAATACTAAATATTTCATCCAGTCTCACTAAAGGGATTACAATTAGTATCCTTTCCTACGGCCGGTTTGATGTATTTTTTTATTGCTCTTTTCACTTTTAGATGGAGACTGTTCACGAAACATCAGATCGCAAGGTGCTTCCATTGTAATTTCGCTGTTCCAATGAGTGCATCTTTCTGAATTTGGCCTGGCCGTAGTCTTATTTCTATTTCTCCGCGATGGCTTGATGTATTATTACTCATGCTGCTTCCACTACTACAATTTTACAATTTAGTTTGTTTTAAGACTTTTCTTCTAACCTATTTATCCAAGCCATAATACTGTTAGATTTTGTTTCTTATTCTTCGCTTAAATCCCCTTGTATGCTAAATTAATGCTAATGAAATAAACCCATCTATGTGCTATTGGTACTTAAATTTCCTTTTAAAATTTTGTTAGAATTTAGTGAGTGTTTATTCGATTATTGCATTGGGTGTTAGGAAGATATTTATCAAACCGACTTGTTAGCCAACAGCTAGGAGTAAACATCATAGGTGTACACTATTCACGAGACTATGATAGGATGGATTGGGCATAGCCATTTTATGAAGTTTGGGGGCCCTAGGCACAATTTCTAACCTTAAAAGTAGTCATAATTGCGCCTCAAACTCTCAGATATAGAGTATTGCATTGCATTTCCACGTGGATGTGTGTCACTTTATTCAATTTACTAATATAGAACTAAACTGCTAACACAACCGACACCTAAATTTTGTTTATGGGCCGCCACAGGACCTCCTGCTGCGCGCAGCCCTTTAATGGAAGTGGCCCAATAAAATATATGAACATTAACTATTGTATTATATAATATTTTGCCAACATACAGTGTAAAAGGGGTCAGGAATTCGTTTCTTCTGATTTCGTTTGTGTTACACCAATGTGAAATAACATCAAATATCGATATAAAAAGTTATTACACGAGACGTTTTAAATTGCTAAAAAAATTCTACCTGATATTTGCCTATTACATTATGACATGCGTGTATACATGGGAACTGACGCACTTCCTGCTGTTACTGGACTGTTGGACTGTGATAACTTTGCTATGTACTCTTCATAGTAAGTGTCATATGCGCTACACAAATTGCATATAGTTAAATATCTGTATAATATATATATGACTGAGAAGTTCAACAATATTTTGTAGTACACAAAGACGCAAATACCCCGAAAATTTAAACAGTTTTGATGGTAATGAACAATCTTTACTTTTTTTTCATTAATAATATTCAATATCTATGACTGTCACCATCGGGTCTGAGGACAGGTTGACAATAGTAGAATCCAGTTCTTGACAATAGATAATATCCTTCCCAGTAGACTCGAACTAACAGGAATCACAAAACACCTATTAAAGAAGTAATTGAAGAAATAACAGTTGTTACGTATATGTGATTAAATTGCTTGTGTGTAAGGTTTAAAATTCTTTTTATTTCATTTTTGTTTCATTGTATTTAATTGCAATGAATATTTTTCTCGGATTCTGGATTCTATTTTTAGTAGTGAGATATAATTTTAGCACAAACTTTGTTTATTTAAGACGAAATAGTAATAGGTGAGGGTTGGCATTTAGTAACAAATCAACTGTTGGCATTTGGTAACAAATCAACAGAAAGTTAAAATGATTGCTCAGCATCACGGACATACTTTCTCCGCGTGATCAATGTTTGCAAACAACCTTTTTTTATGATTGGTTTTTAAGTCGGTCTGTACTGCGGAAGTGACAAAGTAGCACAATAGTTTGCAATAAAAATATATAGACATACACACAGAATTATCACACATCTCTGCACACTGATGCAAACAAATTTTTAATGAAAACTTTTACACAATAAATAATCACAATCTGCTATATACTTAAATGTTGCCCTAATCTAACGCTGAATTATATCCCCTACACGTATATTAGCAATCGTAATGAATATATGATATAGTACTGTATACATTCCACACCCACCTCTCATGTTATGTGCAACTAAACAAATAAAACTGAACTTGTATTTTGAAATATAAATTGTAAACTGTACAACGATACGTACTAGCTAGAGTTCATAAATATGATGCAATGTATATCGTCTTTCAGACTAGAGTTCTTGTTTCATCTTCAGATTTGTCTAAATAAAGGAATTCCTTTGACAAGGTTTCAAACTAGTATGGCTAAATTTATGAGGGATGAAATGTCGGTCCACGCCTGTAATATGTTTGTTTTCTCCAAAATTACTAAATTCAGGCATAAAAGGTTCACAGTCTGACTAGCCATTGCTTCGGCTGTCCGGTCTCTGATGCCACGGAGTCAAACGACTTGAAGTTTATTAATCTTTGGAACAGTCTAAACAGATCGTATACTTTAGTCGTTTTTCAGACGCCTACAATGATACAGGCGACTGTGCACATATTGAATGTATTTAATCAAATTTTTAACTCACATTTTTAATGCTGAATATAAAATAGCAAGCTTTTAAAATCATCGAATGAACTCTTTAATTTTATTCTTAATTTAATGTATCTAATAGACTTTCTTTGCAAAGTCAGGTGATACTTTTGAAGTTCTCAGTTTTTTAGCAGCTTTAAAAAGTTGATCTATTCCAATCATCTTCTAAGATATTCAGATTTACCCAATACATATCAGTCATATATGTAGAGAAATCTATTCATTACTGTATCCTGTCATATAACAGTATATAAACTATTATATAATAAAATAGTTAATGTTCATATATTTTATTGGGCCACTTCCATTATAGGTGTCATGTGTTTGTGTGTGTGTGTGTGTGTGTGTGTGTGTGTAATTTGGATTTTTAACGAAGCTTTAAACATTTTTCAGTCATATCGCTACGATTCCTGCAGTATGGCTGTTTATAGTGATGACGGCTCTGCTGGTCTAGTGGTTAGAGCAAATGCATCAAATGCATGAGGTCGCGGATTCAAATCCCGACAGTCATACCGAAGATTTACAAAAACGGAACTATCATTTGCCTAATTTGGCACTCAGTACTAAGAGTTTAGCGTTAGGACTGGTCAGCTTGGAGTCAGGATATTGTGATAGGGTGGGACATCACGCTACATGATTGCGGCGTGATGTCCGTGTGCTAGACATACTATAAACTGCCACACTGCATGCATGGTAGAAATATGACTGAAAAATTGTTAAAGATATTTTAAAAATCCAAATCATACACTCGGGCATCATGCCGCAGACATGTAGCATGATGTCCCACACATTAGCCTGACACCAGGCTGACCAGTCCTAACAGTAACCTCCTAATGCTGAGCGCCAATCGAGGTAGCTGACAGTACTAGTCTTTTGTATGACCCTGTCGGGGTTCGAACCCGCCACCGCCCGCATCCGAAGTCGACGCTCTAACCACTAGGACACCGTAGCTGTCACATGTGTCATGACACAATAACTTGAAGATGCTGAACAAAATGGTCATATCATAATCATCATGCCAAGGTTTCCCTGCCACTGTCAGCATGTCTTTTACTTGTTTCATTCGATATGTTCATTACGGCTGGCTCGAGCCAAAACACCCATTTTAATGTGCTACAAGGTGATCACTGTTTCGTTGTGTCAGCCTCAACAATCTTACCAACCTTCATTTCATTCCAATTTCAGTTTTACACGTTTCACAGAGTTTGCTTTCCACCTATAATAAGACATACAAACACACAATTAATTCAATTCAGACCCTGCTATAATTATAAGGATAATATATATGAATAATAATCATGTTTTGGTTCCATGCTAATTGTGCTAAATAGGATGAGAAATACTGAGACATGATGTAAGTGATGGAGGGACATTCAATAGAGTCTCTACATCATTGAAGACCTTGACACCGGCATGCATAGAATGTCTTGGGGCACTTAGTCATGCGCTTTTCTTGAAAAACAAATTAGTTTGAGAGTAGGCAGCTGCGTCTTGATAATATTGACATCAGTATCATCTTAGAAAGTTTAATGAGTCAAACATAATATATTTGGATAATTAATACGGCTGATACCTTCATTGTTAGTATCAACATTTACATTTTTCTCACTGTCAAATTTTCGTGAAATATCAAATGATTAAATAAATTTTTAGCATTGATAAAACGATTTAAAATTTAAAAGAATAATTTGCTTGACAGTTCTAATTGCAGCAGAAAGGAAAGTAGTAATAACAAGTATAACTGAAATAAATTATGACTGATTGCTCACAACCAAAACAAGAACAGATTTATTGTAGTCTCTCTTTCGTGTGAAAGATCTAGAGGAGAGGATTCCCAGTCAACATGTTACGGTGCTAAAAAATTATTATTTTTATTTTTCTTTATACTGAACGTTATGAAATGATTGACATTTTTTACTGCTAGAACTTTGAATGGAAATCTGGTTTTTGCATTTTTTTTTTAAATGAAAGCTGATTAGGTGAATTAGTAAGTCATGATGTATCTTCTGATGGGGTGGGGGTAACGGACAGGAATCGGCATAGAATTTAGTTGTATAATCACTTTGTACACTCATAAGTGATTTATAATTGATGCCCTTCACTCCCTCTAACGTGCATAAATCTCATTCTCTTTTTTAACAGTGTTAGAAATGGAACAGCAGTGGTGGGGGTGGGGAGTCAAATGGCTACGTTATGAGTATATACTTGCTTTCTGTGTTCACAATGTCTCATTGGAGAGCAAACAGATGGGTGTGTAGTCGAGATAGGTAGAAATATATATAAATCTAAAACAAACACACTATACTAAATACTTCTCGCATCGGCATGATAGGGTTTCTTCCCTTGCCTGAATGATGAGGTCTCATTGAACAGTTTATCTGGTCACATTCGTCTGTTTCTTATGTTGTATGACAGTTGTCGATGATTGAGAGCCATGAATAGAGTAACAGCCATGAGACACCTTCATACTCTCATTTTAGTTCCACTCTTAAAACTACAATTTCATAATAACAAGTCAATGTCATCATTATTTTTCATAGCTAATGTATCCTGTAGTGTTAGTGCCTGGTGATATATGTGATATCTCACAGCAAAAGTAGCACTATTTATGAAATCTCAAAATATAATGAATAAAAGATATAAAAGAAGCCAAGCTAATTTTCTTGTAAAATAAATGCAAAATGTTCATGCTAAGTAATTAACAAAATATGAAAGATGCACAGCATATATAAACTGACCAGATACCTCACTGATTTGATGAAGGTCAAAACTGTACTAGAGAAATCTGAGGTAAGGGAGGCAACTCATCAGGTAACATAAACTACGTGAACCAATCTTTGTAAACTGAACCAAACCATGTAGGAAACTTAAACAATTACATTTTATACCCAGATAGATCCCATCTGTTGATAAGACAATATGTATGGATAATGTATTTTAAGAACACGAAGAAGGTCACCATTGCTTCCAGTACTGGATTTAGGCATAAGCTAAACAAGCTACAGCATAGGGCCTCAAAGTCTGAACTCAGTCAGAAGGGGACCCTCAAATTTATTTTCTACTAAATATGGCCTCTATAGCTTCCCACAGCTTAGGGCCCCGTTTTTGTCTAAATCCGGCACTGTTTGCATCATTTTCACACTGGCCAACACATAATAATGCTGAAGCTGCTGCTATTTAGAGAAATTTATTTTGCTAGTGATTGTAACCTGCATAAAATCAAATCTAAAGCAAACATATAATCATGCAAAGTAAAAAAGGTGAGAGATAAACAAAATGTAAAAAGGGACATCCATTTCACCAATCCTTGACGTTGTCCTGGCTAGCAATATCACCTCGGCAGGTGTGCTCCCATACACCTTGTGGTCTAAAAGAAAATAAAACCCTGAACATATATATATATATATATATATATATATATATATATATATATATATATATATATATATATATATATATATATATATATATATAGGTCATTATAATTCAACTTTCTTTGCATAAGATGAAATATATGTATTGAAACATTGCATCATGCGTATATATGTATAGAAAATGATTAAATTAAGAAATTATACAATGAATGTATTGAAATTGATGGTAAACTGAATAAGTATGTGAAATACGTCAATTAAGCCACCTTGCATGAAACTTATAAGGCTTTTGTTGTTCATTAGAAGAATTGATCAGAAGCAATACATAGTAACTTTGATGGTGTTGAGTTATCTCCCTTCTACTATGATTAAGGGCTATCAAATCTATAGGAAGTGAATGTTTGAAATACCAAACTATGACAGATTCAAGACATAGAGGTAATAAGGAAATGATTTATTGCATAGTGAATCAATTTGGACAAGATTGAAAAATGACACCGGTTCTTAAAGTCTTACTGGACAGTTTATCTGGTGAATTTTCACCCGACAATGACATATTGCAGAAAAATGAGAATAGTTTTACACTGAAGATACAAGAAAAAAAAGAAACAACAAATTAATGATTTTTGTAGAAAGTATGCATGTGAGATTTTGACTGCAGCAATCAGGTTAATTCCTTATACAATTTGTGGCTTTTATACTAAACCAACACTGTCATTAACCGCTCTCTTTAACATTCGTATTTGACTGAAAAGAGATATTTTGAATATTGTTCTGTGGCAAGGCGGCTGAAAGAATCGGTATGTGCTTTATGCATGAATACAGTTCATTAGTACTATAACAAAATTGGCATACTTTTCATCACCCCTCAACCATCTCAATTTTTAGATATTTCCGTCTGTAGCAGACATACGTAAATACGTAAGCCAAGACGGCTATCCATTTGCAGCCAGTTCTCCACTTTTGATCTCCAATGCTAGTCTAACTGTGACAGACAGTCACCCAAAAGGCCAAACCATTTTAAAGCATAACTCAAATTAAATCTAAACCACATTACAGATTTAGCATCTGTGTGAATTTATAAATGCCAGGCTTATGTTAATTAGTTTCATGCCTTCTACCTTAAAAATTAGGTGTCAAAATACGAAACTATCCAGTGAGACCTAAGCAGAACTTTGCATAAGTAGAATGCCACCTACAGAGGTGAGCACCGTTTTTGTCTAAACCATGGTGTTTAGCATCTGCTTTACTTGATACAGGGACTTTGTAGATCTTGACAACGCAGTGTAACATTTGCAAACATGAAATTATATGCTTACTTGAAAACCAGTGAATAGAGGAATTGAAGACTCAATCGAGTACAGATGGTCGAAGGAATTAAGGGGAAAATTGTTTTTATTTGTAAACAAACGTTTATTATTTTATGAATTTGAAATATGTATTTTAAAAACTACATTTTAACTGACCATAAGAAATTCCGTGACATGTAAAAATGGTGGTGCAAACGAATGTTGACTTTTGAATTTTCTTCATCTCTTTTTTCTCAATGAAAATAAAAGTATTATGTTTACGTTAGTATTATGTTATACGCGTGATCACAGACTTAGTTTCTTGAATTGATCAAATGTAAAGATGCTTCCTCTATTTAATGTAGAGGAATCATATGTCCCTACAACTATTTGATTGTGACTGAAATACTGAAGCTCTTCTGCACAAGCTGATAGGTTTAAATAGAACTCTTCAAATACCTAGAGGTCCATGCCAGCGTACGAAACTATGGAAACAATTTTCAAATTTAGAAGAATAGTTTTCATGAACTATCAAATTTGAATAGTCATCTGAGTTTGTGGTCGCGGGTGGCGGCGTGGTCTAAAGCGCTTTACCGTGAATTATCAATGCCATTTCGCCTCAGTCCACGTGGGTTCGAGTCTCAGGTTCGACAAATATGGATAAGAGTCTATGGCTCTTACCGGGGTTTCCGCCATGTAAAGCCTATCTTGCGCTGAGAATAGGTATTAAACCCAAGACAACGGCAGACCTTCAGAGTTTGATGAATAGCGAAAAGATAGCTATTTGGAATTGCATGGTGTTTTGCTTAAATTAACAACATACAATTAATCCATGGAGGCATAGCTC